TTCTGTCAGTTTGGGAATCTCATTCAAAGCTGGATAGAGACTTGACAGGTGAGAGAGATCAGCCTGGAGCCCAGCAGAGAACAGACATCTCATTCTGTGATGCTTTTAATATTTCAAAATTAAGTTTATACAGATTCTGGATGAAAATCAAACTTAAATTTTTCCATCAAAGAGAAGGGCTTTTCAGATGTAGTTGCTAGCCTCTAACTCCAGAACCAAGACATTTGGGGATGCAAGTATTGTGCCACACATTTGCACTCACATTTATACAATTTTTGGGATGCAGATCCTGAAACCAAATGCTTGGGAGGAGGTTAAAAACAGCTTCTGTAATCTTACTTTTACTCCCAATTTTTTTAATCCTAGTAACAGCCAATTCATTTCTGGATGGATGTTAGGGGTTTCTGTCAAGAAAATCCAATAACTGTTTATTTAGCCTATAAAATATCATTGCTGTTTCAAGTATTGAAGATGTAGAAATTTGATGTCATCACCACCTGGAGGGGCTCAAAAGTTGTATAAATGTGAGTGCAAATGTGTGGCAGAATACTTGCATCTTGCAAGGCACACATGAAGCCCTCTGTTTCACACACAGAAATGACCTACAAGAGTCGAGAAACATGGGCATCCCTTCCCAGCCACATCCCAGGCACTGGGACCACATGAAGATTTTTTGGTTCCAGATTTGAGGCAATCATCCAGCCTGGTTGAGTATTGCCTACCTGGGATGCCCAGGTCTGCATCCCTCTGGAGGCACAGCGCCAAAGGAGCCCAGCATGTGTGCTAAGCAGTTTGTTAAGTCTAAGGAGAATGAGTTTGTGACAGACAACAGGAATTGTGTCACTAGTGTGTCAGTTCTGCTCCCCTGTGCAGCGGGGATGAGGGCACACAGCTGTAAGGTGGTGCTGTCCTGCCAGAGCCAGCAGCTGAGTCCCTCTGAATTGCCCAAGATGTTCAGCTTTTGGAGAGAAGGGCTGTGCTTTGGGAAGAACAGGCTAAACTTTCTCTTCCAAAGCTGGCATATAAAGATTTGGATAAGCTTTTTTTTTTTTTTTTTTACAGAAAAGCAATTAACTTGCTGCTCTTTTAGAAGGGAGAAATATCTCATTCTCTTTCTTCTTACAGTCTGATACCATTATTTGTTCTTTGCATTTAATATGATTATGCCTAACTACTCCAGGGTGCCAAAGCTCCAAAGAGCAGAAAACCAAATATTTTTTTTAATTTTACTCTGAAAGATGCCTAAATACAACAAAAATAAATCTACCATAAAGTCTCAGTAAAAAAAAAAAAATAATATACACTTGAGCAGACCTTTTTTCTGCCCATTTCAGATGTACCTAATCTTTGTAAAAATTTGACACATTAGAATATTTACACTGGCTGACTTTTGGCAGGTTATCTGCATCATGCAGAAAAATACTGCCACACAACAGTTTCTGCCAGGGAAGTCAAGATACAGAAACAGGTAGCATAGGAGGAACCTGATATTCCTGCATAGTCCCTCCTCCTGCTGCTGCTGAGTTTTGGAGTGTAACATCCTCTGTGATGGCACCTATGCCTGCCATGGAGCATCCACAGCATGGTGCACAAAACGAACCATCTCCACCTATTGCATTTCACAGCTGTTGTGAAGGAAAGACCAGAGTTTTTGCATCAGGAATTTCAGGCTTAAATAATCAAAATCACTAATTTTTTCACCTGATCTTTAAAAACTTTGATTCATTGCTTCCTGTTTTTTCTTTTCTTTTTAACCTTTTCTTTCCAGTTACCTACCTACATCTACCACATCACATCATCACATCACACCACGTCACATCACATCACATCACATCACATCACATCACATCACATCACATCACATCACATCACCACATCAATCTCCTGGTTTCACTTTCTGCAGTTGCACAGGGTTTCCTCTTCTTTCCAGTCAGGAGTGCCATACCACTGTGGGGAGATGAAAGATAGGCATTGCACATCTGTCCCCATGTTTCTGCACACGCAGGATATCAGTTTTGCTACACACAGCAACCACAGAATACTCTCTTTACGTTTCAGTGGAACCATTTATGCTCTTAGGTTTTCTGGTCCTTTGGTTCAAGGTTTTATTTAAGAAAGTGAAATGTGTGTAGCTTCTGAGACTGAGATAAAGGCAACGGCAAATGAAGAGGCCTCTAAAGCAAGTTCTCTCTATTCTTCTTTCAAATAATTCATTCTTATTGCTTATGGATTTTTTAAATATCTTTCCAGCTTATGAAGCATGCTGTGATGCAGTACTACAATACAGTGACTTTAAGAAAAAGCCACTTTAAAGGTTAAGAAGGAAGAAGCATATTTTATAATATATTAGATAAAAAACTGTCTTGCAATAATAATTGGACAGCATTTTACATTAAAGCAGAGAGAACACTGAATTTCTCTCCCTGTAAAACTTTCTCAATCTCTTAAAACTTTGAAAGTTCTCAGAGACTTTCAAGGTCCCAGCTGAGGAAAAAACAAAGTCAGTTACTGGAATCAATCAGCTATTCTTTCAGCACAGAGGAGTTTCTAGGATTTGATCTTGCCTTTTGTAAGTTTTTGAGATTCAGTCATAAAATATTTTATTTTGCCATTAATTTCAGAATTTGCTTAATATCACCATGGAGAGTGGGGTGGGGAAAAAAGTCTGAACACCAAGTTTCAAAGAGTTGTTAATGACTTGTAGTGGTTTAAAAACAAAGTATTTTATTCTAGAGAATTAGCTTAATTCTAGATGTGGTACCACAGACATCCCATGGCTTCAAATTCTGTGACTAAGCAGCTTTTGACGAAATGAGCCCTCAACAAAACATAGCAGTGACAGTAACTGAGAAATACTCACCAGCAGAAAAGCTAGTAGTGATGGAAAATCTGAATTAGTCCTGTGTAGACTGGAGAGTGCTGGAGCAGGGCACGGTATAACCTTTTGCAGCACCATAAGCACTACTTAGAGAAAGTAGCTGGCAAAGCCACAAGACAAGTCACTCTAGGTTAGCCCTGAGAGCTGCACATGATCTGGCATGTGGGGTAGATTCTGAGAAGCCTCTTACTGCCTGTAATACGCTTGAGCTTAACAGCTCTGTAGGAATGAAAGTGCAAAGAACCTACCAGACCCAAAAGTTCAGTGTAATAAATTTTAACTCTAGCTAAGAGAATTCTGTAAATATAAGAAAGAAATAGTAGAAGAAGGAAGAAGAGGGGTAAAAAAATGGTAAAATATTTTCAAGAAGCTTGGATGCTACCTAAATATTTCTTAGCAGAGTTTCAAAGTCAACCTCTACAATCAGTCAGAAAAAAATGCAAAAATATTTCCCCTCTCTTTTATATAATATATATATATGAGCATTTCCCCAGTGTTTTTCAGGAAAAAATATTGTGGTTCTATAAGATTTCTTTTTATCTTTTTTCTTTATAATATTTTTTAAAATCTATTTCATGTTTCCAACCTGCGAATCATTTGTCACTGTTAAATATAGATCGCTGGTGCATATTAGTCAGAACTGATTGCCTCGTGACTGGTACTGATTGTCAGTATTGGTCCAGACTGATTCCCTCCTCTAAATGACTCTGCTGAATGACTCTGACGACTCCAGCATCTTCTGGAGAGTCTGATTATTGCTCAGACACTCAGAGGTTTCTGCGATCTCTAGAACAGCCTGGTCCGAAGGCCTAAATCCAGGCATGTCCTAACTTGGGAGGGTTCAGAGTCAAAACTTGGACCTGAATTTCCCTAAATTTCCCCTATTAATACAGGGCCTGGGAGCTGGAGGGCCCTTTAGTGACCCCTCTCTTGCTGCTCATGTAGGCAGGGATAGGCACAGTCCCAAGAAGATCAGGGACATGGATGATGTGGGCGTGTTGTGGAGAAAGCTGTTCCAGTACCTGGGGAAAAGGTGTGCTGTGCTAGCAAGAGAGAGGAGCTTAATGACTCCTGAGCTCACCCGTGGCCATCTGTACCGACATAAATGCAGGACTGGGTTTTGCCATGAGCAGGTAAAGAGAGATTGAATTGATGGGGTGTGAGTGTGAAACACATCAACTTCTGCTCAGGATTGCAGTGTCATTGAGGCAGAGCATCCTCGCAAAGCTGAACAAGTGCTGTATTTACAAGTGACTCTGAGCTCTGGTCAGGGAAGGTGAGTGCACTCTCATCTGTCACCTTGGTGTGCAGCTAGGCTGACACCACTGGAGATGTGCAAAAACATCTGAATAAACAGAGGGTATGTGGGATCGGTGCCCAGAAAATCTGTGAACAGAGAGATAATTGATTACCTCATTCTGAAGAGTCTTGAGCCTCCAAGTATCTAGGAGCTGTGCCCTTCCAGACAGCTTTTCTATATGGTGACGAAAGCACTGCCTTCCTGGGTGTGCAGCACACTCCAGCTCTTTGCAGAGGTGAGGGAGAGGTCTAGTTATGAAGTCAGGTAGATATTGACAGGTATCTTAAGCCTACAAACTTAATAGGGTTTTGTTTTTTTTTTTTTTTTAATACGGGAGAGCATGTTGGTGTTTGCTTATGGATATACCATAAGACTAAAGGTAATCAAAATCATATTGAGCTCAGCTAAGGTAAGTAAGCAATGCTGCTGAGTGGAATACCCAGGCTCCTGGGCTTAGTGCAGGGAGGAGCTCCATGCCTCTACAGGTGTGCCTGACTCCAGAGCTAACAGCTGGGGGTGCAAGATAATCCAGAGTCGACAAAGCACATGGCTGGGTCCATGTGTGCTGACTCTGCCACTGGCTGTTGCTGCTGGGAAGAACATGTGGATGGCTGTTGTCAGAGTTGCACCAAAAGAAAGCTCAAAGGAATGCCAGCTTGGCTTTGTTGTTTTGTTTTTTTTTCTACCACTCAGCTGCACTGAAGCCCGACACCTCTGGTAGCCAGTGAGAAGCTGGTTTTGTGCTGCGCTTTTACGGGAGAAGCCTGGCTGCATTAACTCTTACTAAAACCAGCACCTAGACAACTTAAGCAAAATCCAGTGATGGAGGTCAACTCCACAGAAGCCAGCAGCAGCTCCCAGGGAGGCACCGGCTGTCTGGATCTTCCCCTTGTCACTTTCACTGAAACGGTGACTTTCACAGAAGTGGTGGCAGAAGAGGAGTGGGGATCCTTTTACTATTCCTTTAAGGTATTACTTTAAGGGGTGCATTACTTTTCTCAAATGCTTGCAGCTTTGGAGCATTTTCAGCACATATGTGGGGAGGCAACTAAGATCCTTTAACTTTTTTTCCCCAGATATTGTTGGGTTTTTTTTCCCTGCAAAAACAGCTGACAGCATGTGTGAGGCATTTACTGAAAAGCAAAATACTTGTAGCAATTGGACTTCAGATTTACATGTCTTAGCTGACTCTATCCCCTTCCAAGAGAGGATGGTACTGATTTTCTGTAGAGGTATTGTAATTATACATGCATCTTTAGTCAAAATCTTGCATTATTTTAACACATTTTTAATGTAATTTTTGAGATGCATCATCTTGACATAAGGGATTTCTTTTCAATTTTCCAGCTGTAACAAACATTGTACACAAGTGAGACAGGTTTTTTGTTGTTTGGGGTTTTTTTAATCATGAGGGACAGGTTGTAATTTGGTTTTTGTTTGTGTGTTTGTTTGTTTGTGAGCTGAGTGGGGGTTGCAGTGTCTCTTGAAATCTGTTGTTAAGAATGCATCAGATGAGTCATACAGTAGTGAATGCTGTTGAATTGAATGGGAAGTGTATTCAGTCATCTCCAAAACTAAACATCACCCTAGCAATATGTAAATGTAGGAAAAAGATTGGAGAAGTTCTGAAGTTCATATTTCCTTCAGATTTCTATGCCTGTTGCTGCTACTTCTTAATTTTGTTCTGAATGCCACGTGTTTCTTTATTTTTATGGTACGTTGTACAAGTTCAAGTCATTAAAAAGTCTGGCTAGGAGTGCCCTGCCATTCCTTCTGGAGCTCGGCACCAAAGAGATCAATTTCACCTGGAAAGAGCCAGGCATTTATATCATTGACAACATGTGAGGTAAAAGGGGATATACTCAGAAGTAATTTTTGTATCTGTGAGATTGGTAGTGCTCTGACAAAATCTTAGTGGAATCAGTGGAATTACAGCAGGTTCCCAACCCTGATGAAGAAAGAGGTGATCCATAGTGCCAGTCTTAATTAGTGAGGGTCTCTTTTAACATGCTGCTTATAAGGTAATAAGGTAATACTTCCTACCTAGGACTTCAAGGGTGAAAATTATTTTTTATTCCTTTTTTTTTTTTTCCTCTCCATGTTAGACTCCTAAAATGCTCTTGAAAAAAAAAAATCACAAGAGACGAGAAAAATATTTTAACAACTTTCTCTTTATCTCCTTTCTTCTTTTCACAATTAGGACTATAAATCTGAACAATGTCATGGGAGCAGTATTTTATAATGGTAAAAGTGACAATTAATTCCATTATTAGAAAGTCCCCAGGCAGAAAAATGCTTGTTAATAGGAGAGATTGAGTAAATTACAATAATTAGGAAACTAAGGATAGTCATGCATGCTCATCCATTGCTAAAGGAAACAATTCTGTAGCTGAGGGCTTCTCATTAGACTTGCTCTTGAGTCTCTGCCGGTTGCCTGGCTCTGGCACATGTAGCATGAACTTTGCAAGGAGACTAGCTGATTTCACATAAATTACTAGCTGTTGATAGGCATGGAAATATTTTGACTCTAGAGAAGGGTGACAGCTGGTGCAGCTGTAGGAAAGGAAGGAGAAAGCACCTGCTCTGATGACTACCGTGCAGGGAAGAGAGGGCTCCCTGCCAGCAGTTTCAGGACTCTGTAAAACCCACATGTGGAAGGTGCTGCTGATACCTGTTAGCTCCACTGGCCATCCTCCACCAGCTCTGCCCATGTTGTGGCTGCATCCTTGCCCACTTCAGCAAGCCAAGCAGCATCGTCTTCCTCTTTACAATGCTGTAGTTAAGCAGCTAAAACAATTCAAGTTTCAGTTTGGAAAAGGCTGAATGAATTTGAAAAACAGAGTTCAGTGTTCAAAATGTAGTTTACAAATAGGGTTTGGCTTTTCAAACACACTGTAACCTGTGGCTGGCTGTGAAGGCAGGGTGGTGAGTGGTCACTACACAGGCTGACCCCAGAATCTGTGTACAGATAGAGCACACAAGCTATTTCTGCTTGGAAAATGCAGGTGTAACCTACCTTAGCAAAGTAGCCATAGGAAAACATGATCTAAACTGATAAGAGAAGACTAGGGAGTGACACCCCGTACCTGTGTTGATGACTTTTTAAAGATTTTACCTAATGACAGCTGTCAGGGTATCTCACATGCTGCTCAAACTACACAAGCATGTGCTGGTGTCTTCTTTTCCTCCTGACCTGCAAAAAGAGAGCTGGTACCCACCCCAGTTAATGTCTCTGTTATACTGTGGTGGCAACATGACAAAAGTAAAATAATGTGCATTAGAGTATTTCAGTGACAGAAAGGCTGAGCTGTGAATGCTTCTCTTCCAGAAAAAAATTGTGCTTCTGCCTATTCCTCTGCTTAACAATTAAACCCTGCACAGTTTCAGATTAGAGAATGTTTTACCAGTTCAGATTTTTGTTGTCTTTTTGGGGGGAAGGCTGAGGGGAATTTTATTGATTTATTTTATCTCAAAAATGGAACATTTCCTCCACTTAGAGGAATGCAGATTTTCTTCTTGTAGTCATTACTACAGAAGGGCCAGCTGCTCATCAAAGCTTTGCTAATGAAGTCTAATTTGGAGCCATGTGGGCTAACTAAACTGACTCTTGGCATACAGAATGGCAGCTTTTGGGGCTGGACTGGGTATATCCATGCATCACTCAGCATGCAAGATGAGCTGGTGCTTTTCATGACAAAGGCGCTGCCTCATTCCCACTGCCATTTAGGTCTTGCTGCTGTGTTATGGCAAATTGAAAACCCAGATCATCTTTCTTCCTGGGTGCCTTTCTGTGGGGTATCCAGGTAGGTTACTGACTTAAACTACAAGGAATTCTGCTGGCTGTTTCAGCACCTAATTCAGAACAAATGTGCAAATTGGTATTAATTACAGCTCCAATCTCCCAAGTCAAAGGAGAGTTCATTACATCCCTTTACAATCTCCTCCATATGTGCTTAATCCATGTGTAAAAGGGCTCTAAGCATCAATAGCACCTGCCAAATACACTAGTCCAGAAAGAGCAGAAATCATCTAAATATCTGTAGCCTTCCTCTACTTTAGGACCTTCTTAACTCTGCAAACCTGACATGGTACAAACCAGAAACCTGCCTGGAGAAAAGGTGGAATCTTAGAATAAGTTTGGCCTGATTTTGTGCCAGGTTTGGGAGACTTTGTCAGGGCTGGAGGAAGCATCTCCTCCTGCCAGATACTAAACAGCCCAGAAGTTTTCACAATGGTAGGAGCATGTGCTTGCCCTCACAAAGATTGCATAGGGATCATCTCTGTTTTAAGAGGTCTGCTGAGAAAGAAGATGCCCTGCTTTTATGCAGGAAAGTAAAGGTTGGAGTGCTCAAAAAGAGAAAGCGAGCAGCAACTGTGAGTTTTCTCAGTAGGACTGTGTTCCCACCATCATTTCCTACCTCCCAGCAGAGCTGGGAATCCATCAAGTAGAACATTTTGCTTCCTGCATTGTAGAGTCCCCAGCTGTACCGCAGGACACAAAGGTTTTGTTGCTTACATCCAGGGTTGTTGGGAACCCCAGTGTCCCCCTGCCAAGTGGGAGCCTCAATCATTGGCCCAAATGTTGACACGGCCCTTCCTCTCCCCCATGAGCCCTGGTCCCTGTGCCATGCAGAAACAGTGCAGCAGTGAAGTGTTACACTGAAGTGTTACAGCTTTCAGGAGGAACTGTGTGCCTATCAAAACCATCAGAAATTATTTTAAACATATGTCTTTGACTGTACTCCCCCAACATTGCAGCGTTCCCTGTACCTATGTGTTTTAGCCCATGGAGCTCAGATATTAAACAGCACAGCACAACCTAGCACAAGTAAGCACAACTCTAAAAACATGGGCTGCTTATCCATGGAGCTAATGCTCTTTACAAAGATTAGGATTTACCATCAACAGCAAAGAGCTGAGGAGACCAACATGTTGAGAGGTTTTGTAGAACTGTCCAGTTACATGGATTTGGCTCCAGAGGCTGCTGAAGTCACAGTCTAATGTCCCTATCCTTTCATGCAAAAGTAGGAGTCGCTTTATCTCCTGAAAAGTATTTGCTTATGCTATTGCTCATTCTGATTTTCAAGCAAATATCACAGAGCATCCCATCATTGAATGCATAATAGGAAAATAATAATGGGTGCTGTCAAATTTCTGGAGTAATCTCTGCAAATGCAATCACACATTTTAGAAAATAGTCATATCAAATAATTCAGAGGTAACTTTGCAATCTTTTAGTCAGGGAGAGGAGGAGGAGGATTAAGTTTATACAAATAAGGTGTAAGGGACTCCTGAACATAGCCTCTGCAATATGCTGTAATGACTGTTGCTATTCCTGAGGTGCTGTGCTGAGAATGATCTCCTTGGAAAACTGCTGCTGCAGTGCTGTTGGCCAGGCTGGCCTCATCCAGGGGCTTAAACACAGCACAGAAGGGATGTTGCAGTATGACAACCCAACAGGGAGCAGCTCTGAGCCAACTGATTTGGGATGTTCCACAATAGCAAACCTCATACTGCTGTCCATGTGCTCCACACAGGCACGTGGGTTGCACCTGTCTGCCTCTCCTACATAAATATGCTTAGAAAGTATAAATCTTTTACATTTTTTGAGATATTTTAATTTTACTGACTAGAGACGCGTAATAATTTTAAACAATTAAGAAAAATAACACTTTGGAGTTTTAAATAGGGCTGCCAAAAATCATAAAATTATGGATGGACCTTTGAGTGATCTAATATTATGTTTCTGCATTAAAAATATTCCACAAAAAAAATAGGTATGCCATTAAAAATTTATGTTTTCTGATGAAATTTAAATCAGGAATATCTGTCTAATTCTGTGGAATTTTCCTAGAATACAATGGGTGAAACATCCTGCAATAACTGAACAGTACTGCCCACATTTATTATCTGTCTTGTACCAAATCACAACAGAATGGAAAATAAGAACTATTTGGTGATAGAATTTA